CGGCACCCCACAACGTGCTGCATCGATTCGCAGCCAGATCTCTGACATACAGCATGGGCCCGACCACAAGGAACCTCCCACAAGAAACCCAACCCTGAGACCCCAGGACGTCCATTGACTTGTTTGGTGTGGGAACGCCGCGCCTCCCATGGCAAAAAACCATCGAAACCGACGAGACCCAGGGCACCCTGGAGGCAAGCAGGGTGCTTCTTGGCATGGGCCTCCACTGTTGTGGATGCCACGACAATGGACACCCTAACAGTCCTATCATCGAATTAAACATGTGTTTTAAATGTCGGAAGTGTCATGACAATAGTTTTTAAACATGTTGTAAACATGTCTGATATATAAGACATGTTAAAAACATGTCTGAAACCGGAAAATGTCATGAAAATGAAATGTCATGAACAAATGTGTTTAAACATGTTTGAAACATGTTCTAGACATGTTGGAAACAGTGCTTAACAGTGTTTGAACATGTTAGAAACAGTGTTTGAACATGTTGTAGACATGTTTGGACATGTTCGAAACAGTGTTTCAAACATGTGTTCAACATGTTTGAAGCACTTGTTAGACATCTGGAATTCATTTGGCAGCATGCTTCCTCTCCATTTCACCAGCCTCGAACTTATCCCTATCCCTAAGATCGACACGCCAAAAGGAGATGACAATCTTAGGGGTGCGCCCTCAAAAAACGAGGGAATCCCCGAGATTGGCATCGTGACGAGGAGATGCCCAGCATAGGGAGAGGAACTTTGTGGGCCCAGAAACGGCAGGGCCCTTTTTTCACCGTTTCAAAAAAAAATGTCCCTTGAAAATGGAAACAGCAAAAAGAACGGCGACCAAAAACTGCAACAAAAACGGCTCCAGGATTGGAACCGGAGCCGGAACCGGTCAAAAAACGGCGACGGAACTGGTCAAAAACGGCGTCGGAACCGGCAACAAAAACGGCAAAACGGAACCGGTAAAAAAACGGCCCTGTCGTTTCCAGGGCCCACCAAGGACAGGGACATGTTCCAGGCTGGTAACCACTGACCGTCCTCCACAGCTCCACTGCAGACCTCGCCCGCCGAGGCCGCAGTGCTGCCCCCCCCCCGAGGCCGAAGCGCCCGCGGGCTTCTTCTCCCCGGGGCGTGCGCGCGGGTACGGCCCCCGCGCCGCTGTCACGGGGAGCGTCGGATCCCGTCGGCCCTCCAGGCACGGGTGGTTCAACTAGTCGGCCCTTCCAGCCTCGTCCTCCTCCTCCTCCTCCTCCTCATGTGCCTCCTCTCCTCCTCCTCCTCCTCCTCCTCCCTCCTCCTCCTCCTCCTCCTCCTCCTCTCCTCCTCCTCCTCCTCCTCCTCCTCCTCCTCCTCCTCCTCATTTTCCTCCTCCGCCTCCGCCTCTTCCTCCTCCTCATGTTCCTCCTCCTCTTCCCCAAGAGGGGGAGCGCGAAGCACGAATTCAAGCCTTCCGCCCCAGGAGGCCCCCAGGAGGCCCAAAGAGACCCCCAAGAGAACCCAGGAGGCCCCCTGGAGGCCCCCTAGAGGCCCCAAAAGAAGCTCCCAAAGGCCCCCAAACGACCCCAAGATGCCCCAAGAGCCCACGAACGCGCAAGCAACCGCCTGCGATGGCACAGTACGGGCCGGCGGAGTGAGCGAATCGATGAAATAATTCCGCGCCAGGGGGATGGTGGGAGTAAGATGAGTGAGGCATCCCAGAGGGAGGCCTGCAGAGAGCCTCGGCGGAGGCAGGAACCCCCGCCGACAGTCCGAATCCCTGAGACAGCCCCTTGAGACCACAAAGCGCCGTAAAGAAACATCGCAAGGCAACGACAGGAAACGCAGGGCAACGCCCAGCAATGCAGTACCATGCAAAGCAACGCGCAGCAGTGCAGAGCAACGCAGGGCAGCATTACGCGTCGGTCGGAAGAAGTAGGTGAAAACATGCAGTAGGAAGGCGGATTAAGTTGATTGGGTCCAGGCCCCCCAGAGAATAAAAAAAACAGCAAAAGCGTGTCGATTCTTGAAGTAGGAAGGCGCTTGAAGTATTGGGAGCTGGGAATCCAGAAATACCTACTTTCAACGACCGGCGTGTAAAGGAAGGCCAGGCGATGCCGAGAAGCGCACAGGAACGCAGAGCAGTGCCCAGCTCTCGTTCACTGGAATGTGCCCGCCCCCACCCTTCTGGGAAATAGAAAAATAATAGTCTGAGCGAGCGTGGGAGGGGTCAACCAGTTTGTGGAGTCAAGAAGACAAGACACGGTATGCCTCCGACCCCTTGAATAGACACGCAACGTCTCTGCTCCCCTGAGGCGCAGACCAGGAGGGGGAATATCGCCCCCCCGCACCGCCGACGTTATTGAGCACCCGTAGTCCGAAATGTGTCCCCTGCCCCCGTCCCTTGTGGGCAGCAAAGAACAAGTAGTCCGAGCAAGTGGTGGCAGTGAGTTTGTAGATTAGTTTGTGGTGAGCCAGTTTGGGTCATCCTCACTCTGCTCTCCCACGCATGCTGAGTCGAAAGCTGCCTAGGCAAGGCAAGAGCTGATAGGAGAATCGAGGATCGAGGTTCGACCGATGGCCGAGGATCGAGAATTCGATCGACGGTCCAACGGTGGAGGCTCGATCGACGGTCCAGATCCCTGAGGCAGCCCATCGAACCAATCAGAATCCGATTGGAAGCCGAGTGGGGTCTTTACTAGGCTCAAGTTGCAACCCTCTTGGGCTCTCATTGGAATCCGATTGAGGTCTTGTTGGAATCCTTTGAGGACCTCGGTGACATCCCACACGGAGGGGCCCAGAGGCAGGATATCACTTTTAGGGGCGAGAAGCGATGCAGCTTCACCGAAAAATGGGGAGCGTCGATCATTGCTTCGTGCGGTTATGTTTGTGCAGCTTCTTGTCCTTCGAACTTGCCAGCAAAGGGGTCAACGAACCAGCTGCACGCAGCTGCCTGTTCCAGCACCGGCAGGCGCTGGAGGCGACCATGAGCCCAGGAGTGTGGCCAACGACGGGGAGGGGACTGGCCGCATGCAACAAACCTCGCAAACCTCTTTTTCCCGCACCCCTCCTTCGCCCCGTCCTTCTGCCCAGCGGCTGAGTCCAGACCGCGGTGGCGCCGATGGTCTAATCTCGGCTCTGCTCGACGAGCTTTCCACGGCGAACGCTGGCAGGAACCACGGGCGTCCTTTTGCCGATCAGCCCACGCGTCCTTCAAGATGCTTGACCACGAAGCCAAGACGAGGGTAAAACTGGACGAGGACTATCGACAAGCTCTGAGATCCGGCGGACTTGGGGAATGTCTCGGGCGCCGCGACCTTCTCAGAGAGTCCCGAAACGGTCTGAGAGCGAGGAGGAGACGGGGAGGAGGAGGAGGAGGAGGAGGAGGAGGAGGAGGAGGAGGAGGAGGTGGAGGAGGGAGGACGAGGAAGGGGGAGAGGAGGAAGGGGGGGGAGGAGGGGAGTGAGGAGGAGGAGGAGGAGGAGGAGGAGGAGGAGGAAGAAGAGGAGGAGAGGAAGAAGAGGAGGAGGAGGAGGAGCAGGAGGGGGAGGAGGACGAGGAGGAGGGGAGGAGGGGGGGGGGAGAGGAGGACCAGAACGCTCTGGAACGGACTTCGCCTCGTGCTGGCCCCGCCCGAGCTCGCCCCCCCCCGCCCGCCCTCTGGGTGCGCAGGGGGCCCCCGAAAACCTCCCGCGGACTGGTCCGGTATCGACCCCTGGGCCTCCGAGGCGGTGTGATCTCTGGTTCGGCTCCGGCGGCTTCTGCTCCCTCGGTCGCGGCCTCCTCCTCCTCCTCCTCCTCCTCCTCCTCCTCCCCTCCTCCTCCCCTCCTCCTCCTCCTCCTCCTCCTCCTCCTCCTCCTCCTCCTCCTCCTCCTCCTCCTGCTTCTCCTCCTCCTCCTCCTCCTCCTCCTCCGCCATTCCTTCTCCTTATGAATAATTCCTCCCTGTCGCACCCCGAGGCCAGTTTTTAGGGCGGGCCGGGCGTTTCGCCAGAGACCTCCTCACCACTTATGACTCTGAAGCTGAAAAAGTGACAACGGGTTCACAGATGGAGGGCGGGTCGTTTTCAAAATGTGGCTCTCACCTTTAGCGCCGCGCACATTCGTTTCCGACATCTGCAAGAGCTTCACGGATTGAGGGCGGTTCCTTTTCAAAATGTGGCTCTCGCCTCAGCGCCGCACACATTCGTTTTTTAATTTGCTAGAGCTTCACGGATTGAGGGCGGTTCCTTTTCAAAATGTGGCTCTCGCCTTAGCGTCGCGCAGATTCTTTTTTAATATTTGCAAGAGTTTCACGGATTTCCCCCATGATCAACGTTCCAGAAATGGTGTTTTGGAAAGATCCAAGATTGTGCGGGCGCAACAGTTATGTGGATTCGCTGTGCTGAAGTCCCTAAAATGGCGTTCTGGTACGATTCTGGATCGACGAGACGCAGCAGTCAGGTTGATACGTGGCGTTGAAATGCCGAGAACAATGCTTTGGCACGCTTCAGGATCTTCCAACTGTTGTCTTCCATCGAGGCAGTTCCCTCAATGGAAATGAACCGTTGTAGAGGCCTATGAAGAGGGAGCTTGGAGGGAGGGTAACTTCCAACCACGTTGGTGACTCTTGGGTTTCTCCTCCTCCTCCTCCTTCTCGATCCTCCTCCTCCTCCTCCTCCTCCTCCTCCTCCTCCTCCTCCTCCTCCTCCTCCCCCATCTCCTCCGCCTCCTCCTCCTCCTCTTCCTCCTCCTCATCCTCCTCCTCCTCCTCCTCCTCCCCCATCTCCGGGGGCCCGGCTTCGGGCCCCGTGGCCACCGAGAACTGATCCGGATGGGACGCTGAAAGACATGTTACCGCGCGTTATCCTCGGAGGGGCGCGCGTCCGACCCGACCGTCTAGCACTTCAGTCTTGTACAGCGGGGCCCTCCGCAGGCCAATTATACTCTCATCCTGTGGCGCATCGTTTCCCAAGCGGTACGGCCAGAAAGCGCCCGCCACGGAGCTTCTGCCATTGAGAAGGCGAAAACCCACCCCCACGC